CATGGAAGGATAGAATAAATCTTGTTAACTGTGACAATGATAAGATTTTTTTAGTGGATGATAATAAAGGAAAACTTTAAGAATAATTCTTCAATTCAGACTTCTAGATAAATAACTTACTACACTTCTATTTATTTTACAACTTACCAAGTCAAATCCTTGTTTCAGGAGTACATATCTAAATTATGTCATTTTCTTATGTAAAATTAGGATATATTTATTGTGATTTCCAAAACTGTAGTAAAGAAAAGTTCAAGTGTGCCTATACTTGCTTCTTTGAATAAACACTTTTCTCTCTTTATCTTAAAGTTCAAAGGAACATGGGAAGTTTCACATTTTGGATACACTCTAACACAGGATATGGCTGCCAAAATAAAGCAGGTTTCTGGAGTTTTAAAAAAACATTGTCCTGCCGGGCGGTGGTGGCACACGCCTTTAATCCCAACACTTGGGAGGCAGAGGCAGGCGGATCTTTGTGAGTTCGAGGCCAGCCTGGTCTAGAGAGCGAGATCCAGGAAAGGCGCAAAGCTGCACAGAGAAACCCTGTCTCGAAAAACCTAAAAAAAAAAAAAAAAAAAAAAAAAAAAAAAAAAAAAAAAAAACATTGTCCTGTATCAGAATTACTGAAAACAATGAAATATTCAGTAATGTGTCTCCGTTACTTGACAGTTGACAAAAGCAGTATCTGTCCTCACTTCAGATCTTCACTTGGGGGGAAAAAAAAACCTGAAAAGTGGTAAAAATGAACAGGAAACAGAAAAGAACTTAATAAAACATTTGTTCAAAGTCAATCATCATAGGTGAATAAAACACTTTCTGAACAGATTAAACTTAAGAAATCTATATAATATATATTAGAAGCACTGTAGACACCCTATGCTGTTTTTGTTGTTGTTGTTGTTGTTTTTTTGAGACAGGGTTTCTCTGTGTAGCTTTGGCACTTTTCCTGGAACTCACTCTGTAGACCAGGCTGGCTTAGAACTCACAGAGATCCACCTGCCTCTGCCTACTGCGTGCTGGGATTAAAGCTGTGTGCCACCACCACCCGCTACCTATGCTGTATTATAATAAGGGTTACTGTATAATTTTTGAGGTTAAAAATGGCTGCATGTTCACTAAATCTAAAATACAAAGTTCTTATTTTTTGTTATCAAATATAGTATTTTTCAATGCCTGTTAGGTACTTGTTACTTAAAGGAAGTCAAGGTGGCTATTTTTATGCAACACATTGAATAAAAACATTGTTCATATTATATACAATACATTGCATTGTGAGTATTTTTAAAGAGCAAAAATAACCTTCATTTTATTACTTTTACATTGTCTTCTATTTAGATTAGCATTTATCCCAATTCTAGTGCAACTAAGGAAGATCATATACTTTAAGTTAGGCTGGTCATCTAGTGATATTTGTCTCTGACAGCAGTGGCAATGGATTTGTAGAAGAACCACGATTCCTTGATATCTACCCCCTAAACAGTCAAATATCAAATAAAAAAGTATTCACAACTTAAAGTAATCCATTAAGAACTTCTGAATATCTACTAAGGAAGTGATTTTGATTTTTTTTATCTTCTAATAACCCGACTTTGCTTACATAGTACTTCATTATCCTAAATTTGCCTTAAACATTTGGCCTACTTCTAGCCTATCATGCTATGACCCATGTTTGAGTTCAACCACAAGGGGTTTTTGTTTTGAACACCATGAGACTTGTGTGAGGTCTTAAAGCAGGAAGGCTGGTGTGAAGGAATGAAGAAACTGTTTTTAGAGGCATACAGGTCTTCTAAAATTGTTCATAGTTCAATGAGGAATTAAAATAAGAACATAGATTAAGAATCATAAGCACCCTATTCCCGACTTTCATAATTCACTTAGCAGACATTTACTGAGTTCATAATATGTATGTGCCAGGCATTGTGTTAATTGCTGAGGATTCAGAGAAATAAAAAAGAGTTTGTTTTCAAGAGCTCAGTCTATCTAGTGATGACACCATAAATGTAATCCTATACAAACCAACCTTAAAATCTTTTAGCATGGAGAAGAAATTTCTGATGCATTTGCTCAAGCAAATATTTCTTTAGAAACCCTGATATTTCTCTGGTAAAATACAATTATTCCAGGATGTGAGTCTACTGGGGAGGAGATGGTATAATAATGGGTATCATCAATATTAGCTCTTTATGAAAACTCTCAACTCTTCTCTCACTGCTTTCAGTATTTTAAAATCATATCAGAACTATTTTACTTGCAATAGCTTAACAACCAAAGGAAATAGAGTATCTAAAGGCAATGTGTTGAAGTCTACTTTTAATAAATCTAGGCATCACCTAACTCTGACATATTTTATGCTAGAATAGTAAAAAAAATTTTTAGAAATTACAATTTGTGGAATCTTATTCACCAGGCTATGGAAAACATGACACTGATACATGCATGCGTGCACATGCAAGCACACCGACACACCCACATATATATATATATAAATATTATGTGTATAATTAATATATATTACATATATTGATGCTTTTCCAAATCAGATCTTATATTTGCTTATGAAGAATACATGATCTCTAACTATTAGCATGTTTATGCCTTGACATGTTTATGCCTTGACTCTACAAATGATTTGAAGCATCTATTCTAACATAAAGCAAAGCACACAAATTTTATCTACCTGGCTTCAAATTATGGCTCTGCCATTTACTATTTAAAATCTTTGTGCTCTTAACTACTGAATTTAGTTTCCTAATTTGTAACAATGGATACCACAATCCTCTCTGCTGGGTTACAGGAAGGATAAAATGAAACAGCAGATATACCACAATACTGCCTTTGCATATAGTAGATGCTAAATAAGTAAGTTTGTATTTTCTTTATCTAATGAATACTATACAGAAAAAGGATAAAGTAGAATTTTAAATGATTTCTACCTGCATATTGACACATGCCAATTTAACACCCAAAGGAAACAAACTATCTAAAGGCAATTTGTTGAGGTATATCTTTAACAAATCATTTTTAATGCATCAGTGGATTCATTTTGAAACATAATTGTTATTGTGTGTATTTAAAAAGCAGACTCATATCTGGGCATGGAGGCATATGCCTTAATCACAGTGCTTGGGAGGCAGAGGCAAGCAGATCTTTGTAAGACTAAGGCCAGCCTGGTCTACATAGTGAGTTTCAGGCCAGCCTGGGCTGTCTCCAAAATACTAAGAAAAAAAAAACTAAATTAAAAAGCAGAGTCTAAGCATATATAATGTTTTCGACAGGTGTAGTACTTTGGGAACATTTTAAGCACCTTGATAGCTGTATTTTTAAATGCAATTTTTTTCTGAAGGAAAAAAATGAAGAGGCTCCCTTGCCATATGGTTTTTCACAGTATCCATTCAAATGACGATTAAATATTCTAAATTTAACTGTTATTAAAGATTTACAGAATTCTATTGGCTCCCAAATTTAAATAAAATTCTTGTAATTCTGCCAGTCTTAAAAACACCATTTCTTTTTTTTTCCCACCGGCCTTTCCTTTAAAAAATATGGCAATATATATCTATGTCTTTTATATTTTTGAGAAGCATTTAGATATTAAAGGCATTATCTAGTAGCAAAATATATTAAGTACAGACTTGTATGCTTCATTACAACTCTTCCTGCATTTAGGAAGATCAAGTAAATATTTTTATATGGCAATGGAGTGACTAGAGAGAAAAACCTGAAAAACGATTTGAAAGGATTCCTGTCCTCCTCCCCTTCCCCCTCCTGGAGAATATAAGTGTCCCGCATCTCACACCAAACTGAGCTTGAGTTTTACTGACGTAACCAGTAACCCTATCCACCTCTCATACTGCGGAGGCCGGCAGGGGCAGCGGCTGCCGCCAAGTACACCACTCATCAGAGCCTGCCCGATTCCACCCCCGCGTTTCAGTCATGCTTTCCAGAAATGGGGTCACTCGCTCAGTAACTATTACACACACCCAGCCTATCATCCTGTAATCCCCTAAAGTCCGCTGTGAGGACAGAAGGCAGCGAAAAGTCAAGAAAGAAGAATCACAGACGCGCCACCATCAGGAACTGATTTTCCACTCTGGAGAGGAGCGCTGATACCCTGGAATGGATCTTGTCTGTATTATTTTCTCAGATCTCGAGTTGATTCTGGGACAGAGGCGGCTGCGAAATGCTCAGTGCTGGGATGTGTCCGCAGAAATTCTGTTTTGCCTTGTTTGGGTATATTGTTTGGGCTTTTTGACACTGGGGTGGGTATCTCAGGGATGGTCACCAGATCCCGGGCGAGGAAAACCAGATAGCCCTTTACAACAACCGCTGATCTTGAATTTCACCCGCTCACCTCCACCGGCAGGAAACAAAGTTATACTCGGGGTCTTACAACTCAGTGACCTCAAAAACCGAGGAGTAGGGGATCGGGGGCGTCCCGTTTTCCTTTCGCAGCAGCAGAAAGCGCTGCGGCAGATAGGGGGGGTATCCCTCAGTCCTGTACCCCTTACTCAAAACCCTCATGGCTCACCACCCTGCCCTGCGTGCGCCCGTCTCTCTGCAGTAACCCCCTCCCTCGGCCAGACTCAAGACTTGGATCCAGGGTGAACCGAACCCATTACCCCAAAGTCGCTAAGAATCCGGAGAAGCCCCCGGAGCCCGCAGGGCCAAACTTCCCAACTCCCCGCCGGCTCCCGCTCTGCCTCCTGCTTCCCCCACGCAAAGTTGATTAAAACCGGCTTCTTGCAAAGCCTCAGCGCCCACTCCAAACCCCACGCGCCGCCACACCGGCAGCCCCCTCCCAAAAAAAAAAATGCTAAGGAGAGGTGAGGGAGGGAGGGAGGAATAGACAGATGGGCAAACCCCAACGACCCAAAGCAGAATCCCGCACCCGGGACAAGATGTAAGCCGGAGAAGATGGTCGAAGGGCACCCAGGGAAGAGAGCGAACCGGCGGGGGCGTGGGGAAGGGGCGCGCCTGCCCCGCCGTCCGGCTGCACTCACCTCAGCGCTGTCGGAAGGGCTCTCCACAGCCATCTTCTGCCACGGGTCCGCCAGCTGCGCCAGCGGCATCTTCCCCCCCTCCCCGGCCCGCCGCCTTCACCACCTCCTCCCTCCCCACCCGCCCCACGGCCGGCCCGGCTCCTTCGCCGCTCGAGCGCAAGGCAGAGTCGGGAAGCAGCAGCAGCACAGCGGCGGCTCCCGAGAGCAAGCTCGACGCCGACACTGACCGCCCGAACGCCCAGCGCCTGGCCACAGCTGCCCGCACTCGGAGTGAGAGCCTCGCGCCGCCGCCAGGCACCAGGGCTCGCCCCTTTCTTCCTCTCCTCCTTCCGCCGCCCGGACTACGGCTCCGCCCCCCACCTCCCCTCCCCGCCGGTTCCCGCGCCCGCTCCCAGCAGAACAGCGACCGCCGCGCGCTCCCCCACTTCCGCTCACAACATGGCGTCTAAGCGATACCTGTCTCTCAGAGCGAGGCTGGGCGGCCACCACCACCACCGCGCGCACCCAGGGGCGTGGCTAGTGCAGGACACGCCCTTGGGCCGCTACGCTCGGCTCCTCCCCTTTCCCACCCCCTCCCCTCCTCCTCCTTCTCCCCCAGCCTCAGCTTCGGGGCCTCGCCTACTTTCAGGAAGGGCGAGCCCAAGAGATTTGGGGGCGTTGGCGGGAGTTGGGGGGTGGGGTGGGGGAGAAATGGGCAATGCAGGAAAGACGAGAGGCTGGGTGACTTTTAACTGCCACGAGTCCAAGCAGGTTGGAGGCTCGTTGAGACTGGGAGAGCAGAGTGGTTGCGCTCAGCTGGAGAAGCTAGGCAGGGCGCTGGGGGCGCAGTCCCGTGCTAGCAGCCCGGGGTGGAGGCGGGAGATGTCTTTTCGGCCTTTCTCCTCCAGGGGTGCGCGTGGGCGCGCCTAGGCTATGGGCACATCCCCTCCTGGCCCAAGACTCCCTCTTCGGGGTCACATGCTGAGTATTCACCTGACCCCTTTCCTCCGGCTTGTACAGGGACTGGAGAGGCTTCGTGCCAGGGAGTCAGCTGCATGTAGGTTCAACTCCCAGTTTGATTCAAAGCTTTTAAAGTTGATTCTTGTGTTTAATTGTTAGTATTTGGGATTTTTTTTCGTCCGATCCTACTTCCTCCCCAATAACCCTTCCCAAGTGCGTAGAGCCCTCGAATTTCAGCCCAGACTGTCACACCCCTCCCTTGCTACCTAAATCTTCAAGGAGAAAACAGAGGTTCCTTAAGGTTGCCCTCCTTGGCAGAGATTAAGGAGTTAGTAAAAATATCTTGTAGGCAGGAGCGCGGGGCTCCTGCTCCTCCGTTGACTTTAAATAAAAGATTAGTTTTTTTTTTTTTTTTAAATCAAGCTGGTCGTAGGCGGAGGAGAAAGGGAGGGGGAGGTTGTGACTCCTCCTCCTGCCCAAGAAGAGGAAGCCCTGGGTTAAGGGAACCCAATCCCCAGTAGGCATCAGAGCCGCAGAATTCTAAGAGTTTGAGAATTAAGGCCTGGACGCTCAGAGTGGGTTCCAGGAAGGTTCAATACTGGGTTTGTCGCGCCTGCTGCTTAGGCGCGCTGTATGCCTGGGTAGAAAAGTGTGAAAGTCGCTGGGTTGAGTGGAAAGCTACTGCAGCCCCTGGCTAATCGCCCTGCATCGGGAAGGGGGAAAAAAAGCCCAGGGAAATCTCAGGCCAGCTTGATTTCTTCAATCCCTGAGGCCTGGAGGGAGGCATCTCTAACCTCCCACGCTTGGCTACCACAGCGCGTCCCCCCGCTGCGCTCTCCCTGCACGCCTTTTAACAGTTTCCTTTAATCATCTTGGGGATCCAGACACCTGGAGAGCTCTCGCCTCCCTCCCTTCGGCAGGTGTGAGAATGACCTTAGAGATCCACGCCCAGCTGGCCAGGTCTGTGATGTGTGAGCGAGGATTCTTGCCTGGCCCGCCAGAGACAGGTGTTGGGCTCTTTTTGCTGCCATCTGCAGTGTGCCCCTCCAGGCCTGGGAACCTCATCTGATGAAAGCTCCAACTGTTTAGGGAAGGCAGCCGGAAATTCTTGCTGAGAGCCCTCTCCCTCAGCCTTGGACTCTGGGATAGCTCACGTTGAACAACAACTAGGCGGGCTCTGAGTAATCTGGAGGAGAGGGACACATGGAGAAGCTTGTCACCATATTTGATTCGGATGCTGCAAATCCAACCAGGGCCCTAATTCAGGTTAGTTGGCAGCATCTTTTTGATGTAAAAACATGCTCACAGAAGTTTGAAGATAGGGAATTATGTATTATTTTGCACTTATACACAGAATGCCTAAATTATGTGCCCAAACACTGTCTGGCATTAATTACCCCCATAAAAACCATATTTTAAAAAAAGCATTTTGAGCCAACAAGAGGCTTTAGTGTGTAAAGACACTTGGTGGCTAAGCCTGATGACCTGAGTTTGACCCCCAAGACAAAAATGGTGGAAGGAGAGAACTGCCTCCTGTGATCTCCCAAACTGGTGTGCACATGTGCACACCCCTGTATAATAAGTCAACGCAACAAAAAATACAAACAAAGCATGTTGTTGGCGATTTTCAAGACCAACTTTTACTGATTTCTGTTTACCTTGAAAACCAACCGGGGTACCTTATTTCAATCTTATGTTTTCAGTACTCTGGATTGACCTTGGGGCCTCTACAGGGTAGGCAAGCACTGCCACTGAATTATATCCCCAAGCCTTGTTTGTTTGTTTGTTTGCTTTGTTTTGAGTCAAGGTCTCAGTCTCTCAGTGAAGTTTAAATCTTGTTATTCTCCTGTCACAGACTACCAAATAGCCGGGATTACAGGCCAGTGCCAGGCCCTGCCTGTAATAACTTTTAAACTAGAGTAATGTAAGCCGTGGTTAATTGCGGGAATTGAACGTTAAATTGACTGCTACTACTGGGTTAAAACACCACTACGACAGATGTCTTCTTGCACATAGGATCAACTTAAACTGTGGACTGATGTCGAAAAATGAAATTCTACCTGATTTTTTTTTTTGCCTCCAAAAAAAGAAAATGATGGGGGAGTGTTTTCCCCATTTATTTATTTTATTAGACCCAAGAGTAGTGCAATCATCCTCTTTGCTTGGGTAACTTGGGGAAAATCAGCTAAGAGTACAGGATTCGTGCCACCCCCCCATACACTTTTATTTATTTGCTTTTCATTAGGGCAAATCCTGAAGGGCTACAGCATTACACATACTCTGTGTCCAATGGCTTTAGCAGGAGGGTTGCTTTGGAATTTGGAATTTGGCATGAATCATGCCACTGTTTCCATGGGCCCGGGTTATGTTTCTCCAGATTACTCTGACTTTGTTCAGTTTGCCTCCAGGAGTCACTTTTTTTTTAAAATACACTGAATAGAATTCAGTTTCATCTGGGGCACAAACACCTTCAATTTTAAGAAGAGCCATGTGTTCTCTTTGTTTCTGGAGACCTCACTTACAGCCAGCAAAAATGGCCTTGCATCACAGCCTTCCAGACATATTTACATTTCAGAAGTCCTGTTTCCAGCAGGCACCAAGATAGAGGGAACAGCTAGAGGACAGGATTTTGGAAAAATAGTTGATGCTGCCCTGAACGATTACTTTGGTTTTCCTAACGAAGAACTCTAAGTCTGGCTATTCAAAGAGGTGCCTTCTACCTCCAAACCTGCAAAGATGGCAAGCCACTAGCCTTATGTGGCTACTGAGCCTTAAGAAAGGTATGCTGGTCCAAATTGAAATGCACAGTATCAGCTGGGTGTGGTGTCTAATGTCTTCAACACCAGCACTTGGGAGGCAGAAGCAGGCAGATCTCTGAGTTCCAGAGTTCCACACCAGCTCGTCTACAAAGTGAGTTCCAAGGCAGCCAGGACTACACAGAGAAACCCTGTCTTTAAAAAAAAAAAAAGATGCTCTGGTGTGCTGTATCTTAAGATATCTTAATATAAAGTATCTCATCAATATTTTGATATTGACTATATGTATATTGAAATGATACTATGACTCTCTTGTGTTAAATAAAATTTCATTATATTAAGTTCACCTTTGATTTGCCTTGTGACAGAATCTCACTACCTCTCCCAGGCTGGCCTCAAACTTGCGATCCTCTTGCTTTTGTTTCCTGAGTACTGGGATTATAGGTGTGCACCACCCCAACACCTGGCGTTTGATTTTACCTTTTGAAACCTGTAAATTAGTTCATTTCTTGTTAAACTTCACACTACAGTTCTTTAGGGCAACACTGCTCTAGAATTATCTTTTAACATTGAGCCTTTTATGAATGCCTACAGGTCCTAACCTTAAAGTCATAGCTCCAGGCTCTGCTCCCCCCCCCCCCACACCACCCTGTGCAAAATCAGCAGAAAGGGTTGATTCATTTATTTCCTAATCTCCCTACCCTATGTCTCCAGAACCAAAACACTGGAAAGTTATTACTTGAAACAGCAGCTGAGGAAATGGCAAACCTCAGTAGAAAATCTGAACTAGAGTTTCAAGAAATGATTCCTAATGTATGACAGGACAGCTAGCTTCAACCTCTTCTGCCCCCAACCATTTCCTGCTATAATTATAACCTTTGTGTACAAGTTTAAATGGGCACTCATTTGACAAAATAACATTTGTCAAAAAATGGAGTTCCCTCAGTCTGGAAAAGTTGCGACATGACTAACTGTGGCTCATGGTGAGCTCTCCGTCTCACATACTTTCAAAATTCACAGTTCTATACATATAGACCTGACACTAACATAGAAAACTCACAGAGCAAATCCCTGTCACCTCCAGGAAAAGGCTTCCCTTTTATAGTATATGAAGTAAATCTGTTTTCACAAAAAGAAATGGCAAGCAAACAGTAGACATGTTCTTCTTTACAGAAGGAATGATATGATTTAGGCTCATATCTTACATCACATAACACAAAAGTAACAAAATGCATGGTAGTGTATCTTTCATGTTTTTCATGATTTTCCTTAAGACTTCTGAGATAAAAAAAAAATTATCAAGTCCAGGTATGGGGTACACACCTTTAGTCCCAGCACTCCAGAAGCAGAGGCAGGTGAATCTCTGTGATTTTGAGGCCAGCCTGGTCTACATAGTGAG